AACCTGAACACTCTCAGCCCGATTGCCTTTTCCCCGCCGGAAATAAAATACCGAATCTCTAAATCATGCACTAAGTAAACTTCCCATCAAGTCATTCACCTCCCGACAAGTAGGCAGATGTCCTACCATCATATCAATACTGCAGAACAATAGTTCATAAGCATCATGGCAACTTGTGCCTAGCCTCAGAGCCCTCAGAAGTACCGCTACTGGGCTGAAACAATAAAATATTCTTCCATAAAGCGACGATAATAATCCGATCAGCTATACCGGGAGAAACATCCCGTATCACATCTGTAGTACCATTACGGTTCTTCAATTTTCGATTTATAACAAGCGGTTCGCGTCGCATAAGATTGAGTACGAATGAATTAAAGGCATACGCCTCCAAGGATCAAATCGCACGATAAGGAATCAAGAAGGGAAGTACTCCTAACAGTCCTGCAGCCTCCCGAGGATAAGTACAAACGTCTCCGTACCGATCCGCGAGACTCTACTAGACTTGCTCATGACTCGTGAGACCCTAGGAACCTAGTGCTCTGATACCATGTTGTCACGACCCAAAATCCACTAAGGGTCGTGATGGCGCCGGACACTGCTGTCAGGCAAGCCAACTAAAATACTTAATTAGATTCCAATTTAGACAATTTCGAAAACCCAGATTTTTCCTTCTAATTTCATAAGTAAATAGACAACTGCTTCAATTCAAATTAAATAATAAGCAATCAATACAAAATATTTCAAAACCATCCCAGAACCCGATGTCACAAGTGCATGAGCAATTTCTAAGAAATAATATAATACAACATCCGTCCGGAATACAGTGGACAGAAAGTAAATACAATATATTGGAAGGGACTATACTAGCCGCGGACCGCCTCGAATAATGCAACTCACCTAATCCCCAAATCATCCGTGCTGCTACGCCCAGTAGGCTGCTAGAGTTACATATACCTGTGCAACAAAAATGCACAGAAGTGTAGTATGAGTACGAAAACAACGTGTACAATGAGTATCCCGTCTAATCTCGAAGAAGTAGAGACGAGATGATCGACTTCGACACTTACTAGTGGTCAAATAATGATGTCAATAATTCATTAAATCGTGGACTCTTATAAACATGATTTTTAAAACAATAGGAGGAAACAAGTAAATAATTATTTCTTTTATAGAAAGTTTCCCCAAAATTCCTTTTCATTATTAATCCAAATATTCTCAAGCCATGAAGAGGCAATAACAACTTCAATAAGTTCAAGGCAGCAATACAAGCATACGCAAATCATGCCGAGGCGTACGACCCGCTCCAACAGAAAATAAACTGTGCACTGCCGAGGGTCGAATGGCGCTAAGCATAGATGTATCTATTACTCCGCTCGCGAACTATCCATGCGACGCGGTCAACATGAAATAAACAATCCCCCTGCTCGCGAATCATATGTGCGATGCAGGTACACATAGAAATACATGCTCAGATAGCCAATTAAGAATTTATCGGGGAATATTTATTCAAATAAAAGCCACTTTCTCTTTTAACAATGTAAGAAAAGAAGTTTAATACTTTTTGAAATTATTTATTAATTCGATGTGGTTTAAGCAATTCGAGCTGTCAATAAGTTTACAATTCATCCAAATATAGCATGCTTTTGGGTCCTAGACTACCCGGACAATAGCATAATAGTAGCTATGCACGGACTCTCGTCATCTCGTGCGTACGTAGCCCCCACAAATAGGAGCACATAACCAATTAATTCACCTATGGGGACAATTCCCTCTTACAAGGTTAGAAAGGAGACTCACCTCGCTCCGAAGATCCATAACCGGCATTCCACGCCCTTCTGAAGACTCGAATCGATGCACAACGCTCCAAAACTAGCCAATAATTATGTAAACCCATTAATATATACTAAGGTACTCACTATAATCCAATTTATAATAATTCCTAACCCCGATCGAAAAGTTGACAAAAATGCCCTCGGGCCCACGTGCCCGGAATCCGAAATTTTTCGAAGATAAAGTTTACCCATAGCCTCACGAACTCAAATATATAATTTTCTCTAAATTCCATACCCAAAATCGTGGTCAAAATCCAGGAATACAAATTTCCTAGGTTTTTCCTCAAACCCCAAGTTTTCTACCAATTTACATGCTAAAATCCATACAAAATCAATATATTTAACTCAAGATAGGTGGGGTTAGCTTACCTTGTCGATGATGATGAAACACCCCACTTGAAGCTCTCCAAAATCGCCCATACCAAGAGAAAAATGGGTGAAATGAACTCAAACCCCGATTTTAAAACACCCTTCTGCCTCCAGCAATTTCCGCACCTGCGGTCCTATGACTGCTTCTGCGGTTCCGCAGGTGCGGCCACTCTACCGCATCTGCGGTCCTTCCCAGGCCCCCTTATTTCCGCTTCTGCGACTTCTCCACCGCAGGTGCGGTCCCGCACCTGCGGAAATATGACCGCATCAGTGGTCCCTTCTCTTCTAGCCCAAAACCGCATCTGCGGCTCCTTTGGCCGCTTCTGCGGCTCTGCACCTGCGGCACAATTCTCGCAGGTGCAGTTATGACAGCAACCAGCCAGTTCAGCTTTCCACAAATTCCATTTTCAATCCGTTAACCACCCAGAATCCACCCGAGGCCCCCGGGACCCCAACCAATCATACCAACCAGTCTCAATACACGTTACGGACTTACTCGAGGCCTCAGATCATATCAAACAAAGCTAAAACCACGAATCGACCTCCAATCCAAGCTTTATAAACTTTAGAATTTCAAACTTCTATTTTCGATGTTAAAACCTATCAAATCACGTCCGATTGACTTCAAATTTTGCACGCAAGTCATATTCGACATTACGGGCCTACTCCAACTTCCGGAATCGGATTCCGACCCTGATATCAAAAAGTCCACTTCCGGTCAAACTTCTCAAAAACCTTCAAATTTCTATCTTTAGCCAAATGACTCCAAAATGACCTACGGACCTCCGAATTCACTTCCGATCGCGCTCCCAACTCCAGAATCACCATACGGAGCTATTCACAGACTCGGAATTCCAAATGGACATCGATAACACTGAAATGCACTTCAAGCCAAACTTATGAAATTTCTTCAAAAATGCTAACTTCCACAATAGGCGCCAAAACGCTCCCGGGTTATCCAAAACCCAAACCGGCATACGCCCAAGTCCGAAATCATCATACGAACCTGCTGGAACCTTCAGATCCCGATTCTGAGGTCGTTTACTCAAAAATCCAATCCCAGTTAATTCTTTCAATTAAGCTTCCGAAATGAGCATTCTCTTCCCAAATCAACTCTGAACTTCCCGCAATTCAATTCTGATCACGCGTACAAGTCATAATACCTGAAATGAAGCTGCTCATGGCCTCAGACTGCTGAACGCCGCGCTAGAGCTCAAAACGACCGGTCGGGTCGTTACAAAAATATTTTCCATGAAAGTCTTAATGGGTCAGTACATTGGTTGGGTATTGAAGTTGAAAAGTTGGGCTGAATTAGAATTAAAGAAGGCCGAATGAGATTTCTGAAATTGCCCTTTAATCGGGCCTCTTTTTTTGTATGTGGAAAATTAGTCTCTTCTTTTCATTTCTTTGAGCTTCTAAATTAGATATACATGTTATATATAGTAATGTTAAGTAGATAATAATAATAATAATAATAATAATAATAATAATAATAATAATAATAGTAGTAGTAGTAGTAGTAGTAGTAGTAGAAGTGATGATGATGATAATAATAATAATAATAGTAATAATAATAATAGTAGTAATAATAATAATAATAATAATAATAATAATAATAATAATAATAATAATAATAGTGCTAGTAGTAGTAGTAATAATAACAATAATAGTTGTAGTAAATGGAAAATAGTATTGAAAAATAAATTATTTGATGTAATAATAAATTAGAAGCTCAAGAGAATTTAATTGGAAGAAAGGAGGGATAAAATTGGATGTGAACAAATAGCCACAACTTCAAAAGTAATCGAAATTTAGCCACTTTTCATGTAAAGATAAATCTGAATGAAAATACTGTTCAAAATCCGAAAAAATACTCCAGTATATTATATTGGAAAGATCCAGTTATAAAAGAAATAAAAAGAGAATTATTTACTAAATAGATGAAAAAGGACAACCAGCGAATATTTCACGTATTTGCTCATATGCCATGGCGGGTATTAGGCTTTTGCCATTGTTATCAGCAGAAATCATATTAATCTTAATTCGTGAAACGCCAAATTTCTTTTCCACGACAAAAAAGGAAAAGGATGTTTATACAGAAACTAGTAGATAGTATATGTAATTTCTCAAAAAAAAAAAAAAAAAAATGGACATTAATAAGTCGAACTTTGCCCCTCTAGGGAAAAGCAATTGAACTATCTTTTCTTTAAAAATACTGTTTATTTTTTCTATTATTGAATTAAAGATGTTTAGGAATTTTTCTAATTATGCCATTGGGATAATATTATACAATTTGATCTAGTTGTATTTACAACTTTTTAGAAAACCAATATCATACTTGAGCTGATCTAACTCTAATAGAATATTCACAATAATAATGATCAAATTCTGATAATAATTTATAACTTCGCATTACCATTTTGATTTTACTGAGTTTTGCTTAACGTTATTATAAATTTCATATTTCTAGTTCATCACCAAATATTTTTCAGTTATATGAAAATAAAATGAATTAGATGAAAATGAATGAATTTATTAATACGGTTAAGTTCTGTCACACAATTAATTATTTTTCAATTTTCCTTTTATTTATCTGTCTAATTTTAGTTTTTTATTATCTAACATTCTCATACATCAACAATAACAAAATATTTTTATATAAAGTATTCGCTCAAGCTAGTTTGGTAATTACGTATCACCATATTTAGTCTAATGGGTGAGATTTGGTGTAACATGAATCAAATGTACATTGCCATGGCAGCTGAAATTGTATGTATGTTTATTTAGAAGAAAAAAGTATGAAATCAAACTAGAGTTTTATTGGGTTCTAATTTTTCCAAGGCAATTTCAAGATTGTGATCATTTTGTGTTCCCTTGTACTTGTACCACTTAGCACATATTAGAAAGTATCCCAAATTTAAAACCTCTAAAGCAGCAACTAAGTAATAAAAATAATCCAATCTCCCCTTGTTTAAATCCTCTGCTAACCAATTCTCTGTATCTGATGTTCTTGTTGTCTTGTGTACTACTGATATCAAGAAACTACTCATATAACTAGCCAATGCAAATCCACAAAACAAGAATGACCCTGCAAAACTCCTCATGTTTTCTGGAAATTGCTTGTAAAAAAACTCAACTTGGGCTATGACAGTAAATGCTTCAGAAAGTCCTGCTAGAGCTAGTTGAGGTATTAACCAATTAGCAGACATGGCTGAAATTTCACCTCTTCTTGTTTCAATGCCTAGTGTTGGGTGGCTAAATGCGACATTCCTTCTTCGAGTTTCTACTAGAGCTGATACTAGCATTGTGAAAACTGCAATAAATAAGCCGATTCCCATTTTTTGAAGGACTGTTATTCCAGCTTCTTTCTTTGTGATCTTCTGGAGAAATGGTACAATTATTCTGTCATAAATAGGTATCCATATGGTCATGCTTAACATTTGGAAGACCGCGTAAGATGCTGCTGGAATCTTGAAAGTACTTGGTAGCAAGTATCCTTGGACTTGAATAATTATAGTTAGATATTGGATACTCTTGAAGCAATTGTGCAAAGAGCTAGCTTAGATGCTGTTTTAGTATAGGATCAGGTGTTAAAGGGGATGGGATATATTCTAATGGCCAAGGGCATGATAGGACATACTCATCCTGAATAAATATATGCATTAGAAGCATTAAAATTCTTTAGAGCATAGAGGCTCTGTATTGTAGAAGACCAGAACTGATCACGATCAAGCACTCTCCTGGAAAAAATTGGGTAAATGCAGCAACTTGGAAAAGGAAACATAAGTACTTCATAAACAAATATCTTAATTCCCAGGTTTCTATGCCAGAATTGGCAGATCAACAGGTTACACAAGCAGCAAGTATACCTACTGCTGCTAATAGGGGAAGATAAGCAACTGATCGAGGAGCTTCCAATAGTACTAAGGCTGCTGGTGCATTAAAGGATGATAGTGCATCAGCTGTAGCTGCTCAATCAATCAAAAATAATGCAACAGTAACAGGTGCACAATTTGATACATCTGCCAATATTGAATCAGTTGTGCAAGCAGCTCATTTAGATGTTGCTGTCGTTTAGATGCTGCTGTTGTTATTTGGATATGAGGTTTTTCTCTTCCTTGTTATGGTTTGGGCAATCTACATATGTTGCAACAAGTTGTGTTGATGAGAAAGTGCGGATATGGGAGCTCAAAGTTGCACTTTGCAAAGCATTTGCTTAATTCTTGTTTTCAGTTTTTCTTCTTGATTGAATTCTGGTTTGATTTGAGTGTTGGTTCGACTATCTGCTGCTAAGAAGATTGTTGGATTGAAGACTCAAACTGTTTTTACTAAGCTTCAGTAGGTAGTTGTTGAAGTTTGGGTTCTAATCAATTTGATTGAAATGTTCATATTTTAGCTTAGTTGTTTTTGCTTATAGATGTTAGGTGAGAGAGTTGGCTACTCTAACAGTGATGAAATGTTCAAGATATTTTTTCACATTATACTTCATCTTTTGACACAATTATTTTATAATTTCAGGTCATACCGTCTGATGTTGGATAATTTAGCGGGTGAAAGATTTCAAAATGATGAAAAGTTGCGGAAATTATTGGAAAATCATCATTCGTCTGGATTAGTTATATAATGACATTAGCTATTTAGTCTAAATAACATATTTTTATGTTTTAAATTACTGTGATATTAATATTTTTGATTAGTACTTCCTTTTGTTTGTTAAGATTGATGAGATACATTATGTTTTTTTGAATTAATATTAATATTATTTATTATTTGAGTCATATTATGTACGAATGTAGTAACTATTATTAATTGTGGCTAAACTATTTATAATTGATGTAAAACAATTGTCGTTACTGATATTGACTTTTAGCGGCAATTTAGTTAAACATATTAGCCATTAGAATGGAAGCTAAAAGGGCAAAACTAAGATGTTTTCAGAAGGGATATTGTGACTATTTTAATTGTCACAAAATAATTGACATTAAAGATGCGAACTTTTAGTGGCAATTATTTTTAATTTAGCGGCTATAAAAAAAATGCTAAAGAAGTATAATTAGCTGTTTGAGTTGGATTAGTAGCCATTATAATTGCCACAAACAATTACCCTAAAATATGTGATTTTTTAGCGGCAATTATTTTGAATATAGCGGCTATAATAATGGACGCTAAAGAAGTATAATTAGCCGTTTTGGATTGGATTTAGTAGCCATTATAATTGCTGCAAATAATTACCGTTAAAGATAATAATTTTTAGCGACAATAAAATATACCGTTTACCAGCTTTTGCGAGAAAAGCCGCTAAAGGCTTTGCCGACCCCGGTTTCAGCGGCAAAAGACTAATGGCCGGTAAAAGATATAGCGGCTATTATTATTGCCGCTAAAGCCAATTTGTATTGCCGCTAAAGGTCTTATTTGTAGTAGTGGCAGGCCTCATTTCAGAGACATCTCTGATGCCTGCACAAGTAAATATGAACGACATGGAACCATTAATAAACGAAGAATATCAAAAACCTGAGAAGAGAGTTTGCCATGATGTTTGGCCTCTCATTTTCCCTCTGATAATTCGCGCCATTTGCGCTTATCGTACGAGGAGGTTGCAGCTAATTTTCGGACCCAGTCCTCGAGGTCGGGAACCGCGTGGGGCACCCAAGCAGTAGCTACAGAGAAGGTAAAGGCATTATGAGACACGGAAGCATAATATGAATAGATATTTGAAAAAGGAATTCACTTACGATTATAGTTCCATCTCTCCGGGAAAGGCATTTTCCCCATAGGGATGACGTCCGAGGTCCTCACTCTAATAAACCGGCTCATCCAGCCCCGATCTTTGTCCTCGTCATTACAAGCGAAGAAGGCCTTTTTTGATCGGCGTTGAAGCTTGATAAGCCCCCGAAATAGCTGAGGCTGGTACAACTGAATAAGATGGTTGAGGGAAAACTCCAATCCCTCGGCCTTGCCGGAAAAATAGCGCAACATGATTACGATGCGCCAAAAGGAGGGGTGGATCTGGCCGAGGGTAACCTCGTACCTTTTGCAAAAATCGATCACTACCGGATCGAGGGGACCCACTGTGAAGGGGTAAGTGTAAACACTTAGAAATCCCTCCACGTGGGTAGTGATGCTTTTCTCGGGGCTTGGGATCTGTACCACGACCTCGTCTCCCTAGCCGTAGTCCCTCTTCATGGCTTTGAGGTACTTCCTTGATATCGAACTAATATATCTAGATACATGTTCGCATCGGCCTGGGATATCGGGGGAATTTTCAATATTGAATTTCTTTTTAATCACACAAGGGCCGGGGGTGATTTCGTGAAGAGCCGGCGGCGCCACCGGTTTGGCCAGCCGGAAAGTAAAAGAAGACGATGCTTTCTCTTTTTGGGAACTATTTTCGAAGTTTTAGCCATAATTGTAAGCTAAGAAATACAGACGGTAGCAGAAGTGTGGTGTTTTACGAGAACTTGGCGTTTTCCGGCGTATTAAAGAGGTGGTGAAAACAGATGATAGGAGAAAGAGATGAAGAAGAGATGTAATCAGAGTAAATGTGATGAAGGAGTAAAGTTTTCAATTTAAAGAGGTAGCCTCGTATTTATAGATGAGCAACGACGGTTCGGCGACGCTAGTGGCCGACCGTTACTGGCGTGCATTTAATGTTTTGGGGAAGCGAACCGACGGGACGTTTCGGTCACTTCGAACGCCCACGTCACGGGAATGACATCATAATTAGAGACTCCGGAGAATCGAGGTTCAAATCGTTTCTTATCGTCTTACTCTAAGAAATGCGGGGACTATCTGTATACGGTCGAAATCAGGGATGCCCGATTTCCCAGGGTCGAGAGATCGCCTTAAGGCCCGAGTTCAGGTAAGGTGGAGTTCGAACTCGATGGACCAGACTCGAGCTCGAAGACAGAGTGTAATGCCCGAAGATTGAAGCACGATGTATGCCGAAGCCGAGTATGCTCAACCCCGAAATGATGCCGTTATGGGTTTCTAACAGAATGAGCGAGATTCCTGCCACGTCCCCAAGATCATGGCACAAATCCCGGAATAGAATTGTACAATTTCGTACTAGGCGGTTAGACAGCTGTACCAATAAGATTCCTTACTGTAAATGGAAATGTACCTTATTTAGGGTTCCCCTATTATATAAAGGGGACCCCAATCATTTGTAAAGATCATCTAATCATTGGCAAAAGAATATACTCTCTACTTTTCGATTACTGTTCATCAGAATTATCCTTTCTCTTTACTGTTCTTGCTTTATTATTCTTGGTGAGGTCACTGAGCTCGAGGTCGATACTGCTAAGTAACACTGGTCTGATTCACTTATTTCTTTCATCTATGCTCTATATTTCCTGATTATTAATTGGTATTGAACTGAATCACATATCTTTAACATCACAAATCAAATTTAATTGTTACTCGTATTTTCGAGGTAAACAATGATAAGGGTGTTCCTTAATGGTTCAGATGGATTGATATGTTAACGTGAGGATTCATTCTCTCCTCCCGAAAAGCGTTTGATAATAGAAGTCTTAAGAGAGTTGTCTTGATTATAATTAATTAGAAGTGTGTAACTTTAAGCATTTACTTTAATAATCATTATGCTTACTACTATCATTTATGGGAAAAGACTGATATCAACCATATTAAACCCTAGGATAGATCACCTATATTAACCCTCAAGACGAAGACTTCTAACCGTAGGAATAACAGGCTCTTAATTAAATCAGTAAAATTAACAACATTTGAAGGGCATTAATGTAATAATATTGACCTACTCGAACCCTTAAGTTGATGTTGAATTGATTTAGAACTAAAATGTGATGGAGTCCAATGCCGTCTATATTTTTTGCATTGAAGTGGTTGATGTATGAAAACATGCGTCATGCATTCATTAATTTTATGTAAGTATGTGGGTAAATTATTACTCTAGGGCGAAGTTATGTGTAGTTCGCCGAAAAATTATATTGTGTATAGGGTAAAATATTATTTGTTATTAATAAAAAAAAAATAGACTTTGAATGCCCTTGCATATCCCATTAACAAAGGGTATTGAATTTTATGGATTTGCCCTATCACTATTATCTTTTACTAATATATAGTAAAGAACATTTCCCATCCAACCAAAGAGAAACGTGATGATTTGATATTTCCCAAACTGCTAGCATTGATCCCACTGTCATTTAAATTTGTGGCTCCAAGTTGGTCCAAAATCTGCAAAAGGATAAGCCCACAAAGTTTGAAAAACCCCTGTCCTGGGGACTCTTAATTTAGATTTTAGTTTGTGGACAGTGGACTACATATTTATGGACAAAAAGTTCGCTACCATTTAGCCGGACACGAAATGAAGGAAAAATACATTTATGTCATCTTCACATTCAAATTATTTGACAGATTTCTGGTGTTCACTTCTTAACTTGGAGAAAGTAGCTTTCTAGCTTTGATATATATATATATATATATATATATATATATATATATATATATATATATATAGTTTTTCCATAACGTAATTGAAAATTGACTTGCAAAGCGTGTATAGAATGATGATAGAGCAATTGTGGTAATATTACAAAGGTGATTAATTGCACATTTTTGGAATTGCGTTGGGAAGTCGGTTTCTATAGTCGTCATGGCTCCCGTAATATTGTGGCTTTGAAACTTGTTTAATTTATATGCATCAGCTCATTTAAGAGTCTTATCAGTTATTGCATCACCTTACCCTATTAACATTAACATATTATAGAAGAGTGTGCCCTTTCGTTATTGTTTGCATAATCTCAGGAAATATCTGCATGCGCGCGTATATATATATATATATATATATATATATATATATATATATATATATATATATATATATATATATATATATATATATGCATGCCCATGTATATATCCAGTAATCCAGATGCACTCAAAGAGGGAATCAGGATTTCAAGTTTATGGACGTGAGATTGAAATCATTTTAAGTTGGTGGATTCAAAAATCATTTATATATATTCAATGTATTTTTTAAAATAAATACCGAATTCGAACCAAAACTATTAAGTTCGACCGAACTCACTCCCGACACCCTAGCTAGCTCCGCCCCTGGATGCACTTGTTATCTTTTTGACATGAGATGGCCGACTAGCACATTAAGGGCGGCTGGTCTTTAAAACATGGGTTTTATGGAAATTAGCAAGTTTTTTGCATGGTTCTTTTAATGTAGTACGGTAGTTAGTGATTAGAAATAAAAGAGAACGTAATAATGTAGTAAGGGTAATTTTATAAAAAATAATTGAATTCATTCTTGATTATATAAATGGATACTTATTTTGGACCAAAATAAAAAAATAAATTGGTC